GTCAACCATTGATATCAGGTGTGCGTCGGCAGGGGATCGAACCCCGGACCATGTGTTATTCTTATGTTATTCTTATAACTACAACTAGTAAGAATAATTACTAGATAGGGGATAAATTTATATGAATAAATATAAGAATAATGATGATGATATAAAGCAAGAATGTCCCGCGTTTAGACATATCAAAGACATAAAGATTTTCATGATACTAATCAAAAAGGATATTCTGATAAATTTACTCGCCAACTGCCAAATAATTTCTACTTATAAAGCTTCTTTTAAAACAAAACAGAAACGGTTTCTTTTTAACTCAGAATTCTAAAGCCAGCGGTAAACAAACTCAAAGTTAAAGTATATTTCGAGTACAGTTACATCTTCAAGTTGAAATATTGTTATTAGATAGAAATAAAAGATTCCTAGTATAAAGTGTAATAGATCAAAGATATACACCGTAGAATACCTTGGTGCTGGCGATATAAGGTTCTAAAGCTGTAGCTCAAAGATAGCGTACTTACTTCACAAAGCAATAAACCTGATTTCTACTCGTGGAGGGATCGCTGGTAAAAACTGATCAACAGTTTTAGACTAGGGTAAAAAAAGCTGATTAACAATAGTTTTCTAACTGATTTCCATTCGTAACGAAGTCTACATAAGAATATTTATTACCGACACATAGAATTATGAAAATATTTAGTCCCGTTTATCTAAGGTAAAATAGGCATATTTGGATCCGTTTTTTTAAATAACCTTCACTTCTTTAAAGTACTAAATGTCGAAATTGCAGTTTGGTCGCAGTACCAAATTACTAAATACCTTGTCATTAAAATACTGAAGAGAGAGATAATGTACCATCAACTCAATTAGGTATTTAAGGAGTGTCCTAAATGTAACGTCCAGGGAATTTAACACCAGTTTAGTCAGTATGTCCAAATCGTTCCAGTATGCAATCCACTAGTGTTCAGAGTAGCTCAGGCACTAGGTGATATAGCTTCAAATTACTGAGACAGTATCATATCACATGTATGTCTTACTGATGAGTCGAAACAAGAAGTATGAAACCACTAGTTCACGACTTCCTTCAAACATTCCGTAGTCGACAGAGTTTTATATAGATATGAGAAATAGCGTTTTCTCCTGTCGAATAGTATTTAATTCCAAAAACTAGTATGCTGTGCATACTGAAATTATAAACGGCAAACAAGTGAAGTAGTAAGTGTGGCACTCGATTTCATTAATTCTCTTTACAAAATACTAAAGTTCATATAGATCAAATTAAACTGATAGATAAACTCAATTATATATTTTTGTAGAAGAGAAATAAACTGTAATCAAATTGTTTATAACACTGAAAATGGACACTAGTTATTCAATTAGAATGATTACATAATGAGTAACACTATGATGTATTTCGATCGACATTTAAAGAAGGAATATAACTGTACTAGTTGGAATGATTCAGACTAAGCATCTATTGGATGTTAATGGTTAATACTTTCTATTCTGGATATCAGTATTCTTCTTCAGTCTATTTTAAGTGAAGGTATGCACTAACAGTGCGTCGGTGGCACAGCGGTAGAATGCTCTCCCGTGTGAAGTGGTATAATAAGGTGAGCAATATCGAGGTTAGGCGTCGAGTGCTAGGTAAGGCGGGGAAATCAATCGACGAAACTGTGAAATTACATCGACTGAGATGGTTAGGACATGTGTTACGCATGCCTGACTAGTCATCGCCTTCCTCGACAATGAGCAATGTTAGCTGATATACGGTCAGGCTGGAAAAGAGCTAGCGGCGGTCAAATCAAAACATGGCACCAGTCAATGAAATCCACAACAGTTAGTCTAAGCCATGTAGGAAGGTGTAGACTTCCTGTTTAGGGTCCTCGGGACGGTAAAAACCAATGGTTGGAAACAATTGGTGACATGTCTCAAAATCGTTCTCAATGGCGCAGATGCATCCAATCCTTGTGACTTATGATTTCCAATTAAACTGTTTTGCTCTTCGTTGTTACTATACCTTTGTCTCACACCTCTGTTTACTGTCTATATTATGCATTTCTCCTACTTCTCTTGCTTTGTGTGCTACATGGAGTGTGGCGACTTGAACTGCCGCAGAATGTTCTATGTCGACAGGCAGACAGACACCATATGCGGCTTGGGGTTCGATCCCGGATCGACGGACTCCCTTACCTCGCTAAGCCAGTAATAAGACTGGTGAAGATAGAAGGTTGGGCATGAGGCTAGCAACTCCGTCCCGTAAAAATAAACGCCACTGCTACGGAAACTTCAAACCTCTAGTTTGAAGCCCTATGTTCCAATAGGAACGTCAAGGAATAAAAATTTTTTCTAAATGATGCATTAACAACTGTGAGAATTACCTTATCATCTACTATGTTACAAGACTAGAATAAACAGATATATAGATATATAGTTATCAAACCACTAAAATTTTCAAATTATATTTCTGAAGGAGCTTGGGAAAGTAAACAAGTTCCAACGACTAAATGGGGTGTCCACTCTCGATTATGATACTTTAAAAAAAATTCCTTTGCGTTTTGAGTGGAAAATAGGGCTTCAAGCTTGAGTTTTGAAGTTTCAATAGCGGTTGTATGGTTACCAGCCTCACGTCCAACACTCCCTCCTTAATGAACTCACTACCGACTGTGAAGAGTGCGATGACCGGGAATCGAACCCCAGACCACACGCATGATTGGTAAGCATTCTACCATTGAATCACTGACGTTGATATTAACTTTTACTGCATAAAATTCGATGCTAAGCAACAATAACAAAAGAATCTGGCAAAGTTCAATAGCAGTTTAGCATAACTAGCTGATCAGAGGTAATATTTTCATCATCTGAGTTAGTACGATGGGACCACAGTCAACAGATTTAATTGTTACACCATTTCAGGGGGGGGGGTACATCGTTTGATCATATGACGAGTATCTGGTATTCTGTTTTTCAGAATGGAATATTTATAATCCCAATACTTTAAGCCTATAATATAAAACTAGTGATTGTATAATTTCACTATGCTATACATTTCATAGAATAGTATTATTTTCATATAGTTACCAAAACAAATCATTTTCAAGACGGATTTCAGTAGTATGCACTGACGATCAAGTAAACAAACAACAAATTTCGTGGAGAGCGCGTTATCATTGGGTTATCCAGTCAGAATCCAGCATCCAATTAATTTCGAGCTTTTAATCATGTAACAATTTCCTATACGACTTAAATGACCATTACTAATGAAGTGTTAAAATCAATATCATATCATTATTAGTAAGGGTTGTGCGTCGGTGGCATAGCGGTTAGGACGCTCGCCGACCATGCACACGGTCCGGGGTTCGATCCCCGGCCGACGAGGCACTCCTTTACTTCGCTAAGCCAGAAATAAAAGCTGGTGAAGAGGAAAGGTTGGGCATGAGGCTAGCAACCCCATCCTGTATAATGAACACTGCTACAGAAACTTCAAGCCACTAGCTTGAAGCCCTATGTTCCACTGGGGAACGTGAAGGAAAAAAGAAAAGAAAGAATTAGTAAGGGTTCCGCGAGTTAGCAGATTCATAGAGAGAAATTTCTCTTCGTGCGTGCATACTACATTTGTTGTTTGGATATTCAATATGTGTATATATGTCTTACATTGTTATCTTTAATTATGTATCTACTTCAGCGACTTTTCAGAAATATTACAAGTTTATCCACTGCCTATTGTGTTGCAGCTAATAATAATATCATGCTACTGCTCACTCCGGTGCGTCAGTGGGTTCAGTGATAGAACACTCGCCAACCATGCATGCGGTCCGGGGTCCGATCCCCGGCTGACGCACCCCTAAACCTCGCTAAGCCGGCAGTAAGCCATATAGAGAGGGGAGGTTGTGTGTGAGGCTAGCGACTTCATCTCGTAAAAATAAAACCACTGCTACCGAAATGCTCACAGCTCAAGCTTGAAGCTCTATGTTCCACGGGAAATGTGAAGGAACAAAAAAAAACAACTGCCCACTTCACATGCTGATATAATACGCTATGCTGTAGAAGTTTAAGACAGACTTTGAAATAAACATTACAAATATTAATATGCAATATGGAATACGAAATTCTGACTCAAAAACGATAACTTCTCACTTTCCACATCCCGAGCAATTTATATGTGTATTACAGCTGATAATAAAAGTCAATGAATTCTTTAGCGATTAAGTAATGCACAAGAAAATTCCATTAACTAGACTATGGCGACGTGAATGGTTTCACAGTAAAGCACTAGACATCAGTCAAAATCACCACTGACTTAAGTATGAATAATTCATTTTTTTTAAAAAGGTTGAACTCTGACAGTCTTATCACTTCTACATGAAACAGTTATTATAACAAAATAGGATAAGTTCATCATCAGGCTCTACAGTTATATATACATTATAGTGAATGAATGAATTAATGTTATGAACGACATTAATGTTGTTTAAATAACATCGAATCAATAATATTGATAGATTACAGCTGAATAGCATCAACATAAAATAAACTGGATGTCAGAAGAATTAGGAAAGATAATATTACAAATTCATGAGTTTATAGTTTCCACTGAGGGTCAGGGCAGTAGTAGGGGCTGGACTTGTTTCTTTTGAACACAGAGCACTGGTTGTTTGAGGCGAATTGCAATAGCCTCTGCTGTTTGGAGCATGCGGTGCTTCGATGATTTTGGTAATTTGTTAGGCACCCGGTATATTATAGAGAAGGATTCTTCTACGCTGGCTTTGTGACCGGTTTGCACCAGATGGTCTAATATCGAGCTGTTAATAGTTTTAACTACACCTTTACTTAGCCGTAGTGGGATATGTATATATAATTGTAGAGCCTGATGATGAATTTATCGCAAAGAGTACTCTTTGTTCAGCATCCATTCTTTTGAAAATTTTAATGGGCATTTTTAATCAGTTAAAATAGGATAAACTTCTTAAAATCGACTAGTTTTATGAATAGTTTTTGTTAAACAGTTAACTTACTTCATCTGATGACTGACGATCATCAGTTTTAAGTCCAGTGAAATTAATAGATGGACGAGAAATGCATTGTTTAACTTCATTTAGCGATGATGACAATGATTGTGATTTAGCTGTCGAAACATCATTCATTTCCACTGAAACATGTGTATAACCACGATCTTTGTTGTTGCTATTATTATTGTTAACATTATCACCGATATTATTATTATTACTAGCAAAATTATCATCAGATGAAATAAATTGTAATTTTGATTCTCCTCCAGGTAATGATCGATTATCATCACAGCCTTTATAATCCATAGCCTGATAATGATCACCTTTTGCATCTGCCTCACCACCACCACCACCACCTTCGCCTTCACCATCGTCTTCGCAGTCATCATCATCATCATCCTCATCATCGTCATATTCACTCCAAATGATTGATTTCGATGTAAAATTATTCTTAGGCATTTCCATAATTGGTAAACTAGCCGGTGGGATACGTACTAATGGATAACATGATATGTGTGATCGCGGGACTAAACCTCTTTGACCTTCAGAATTTTCAGCCAACATCCATTCTATTTCACCAGGTGGTTCACGATTTATAATAGTTAATACTTCATTCGGTTTCATTGGTAACTCATCGGCTTCTAAATGTGCATCTATAGAACCAGGTCCAGCTGCTTCTATACCACGAGGAAATAGCGCATATACTCGACCAGATGAAGCAGAACCAAGACGTTCATGTTGAACTGATAGAGATTAGGAAGAAAAAAGCATAAATGACATAGATAAATAAATATCTGAAATTTATTATTTTGATAAACTGTGTACTTTTTCTCATAGGGGTTGAGAAGTTTACAACTCAAATTGAAAATTTATAATCAAATTAGTTGTGCAACTGTTAGATGGACCAGAAAATCAATAAAATCCTTCTCTTAGTGTTTCTTGAAAAAATAGTCTAACGATGGATAAATGACAAAAAGGACACCACCATCAATACTGAACAATTCCCAATCCAGGTCAATCGAACATAATAATCTAAACGATAACCGTTAAACAAGTGGTGGATGATCTCATCATGCAGTGATTCAGTGAATTACGCCTTGGTGTTTACAACAAGGGGTGCTGAAATATAGCTTCCATTGGGAATTCTGTCATTCCCCAGGATGCAGGCGCGACCAGATGATGAGTGCCGTATGATGCGAAATGAGTGTCTCGGATTCTGCTGATAGCCGCTACCCAAAAATATATATACCAAAATATTACTGTTTCAAGCTAATAATGGATTAGAAAGAAGTGACTATTATAGATCACTATGGTATGGTACAGTATCTTAGCGCATCTGAAAACTTTCGACAGTGTTCCACTGGATTACAGCTTATAAGAGGAGCAACAAACATGCTTGTTTCGTAGTGTGAATTTCCTGGGCTACATTCTTCATGAAATCATTTGGTGCACACTACTGAAGATATCCAGACAGGGAGGAAACATAAGTCTAGTGTTCAGTTTGTGACGAAATCAAGTGTTTTCAAAGTTTATATCTTAATAATTATGGAGTTTCAATGAGAAGCGATTAACAATAGGGTCCGAAATACGGGTATGAGATGGTTAGTGGTGGAGTTAACAGAAGGCAGAATTCATGGATTACTGGATCCCAGATCGTCGACTCAATGATAAACATACTACTACTCTCGTAACCTCAGGCTCCTAGCCTCTACCGTCAATGAAATTATGGATTCGCATGGTTGAAAAGTTCTGCACAAAGCAAACCAACTGTTCAGTACTCATGTTGTTTTTCCCAATGATCTGACTAATTTTCTTATGTGATAGCCAGTAAATTACTGTGGTTACCTCAGTTTAAAAGACATAATGCAGATGATGATGCATCTAAGTTCAGATAATCTTAATTATCAGCCAAATTTGGTTGGTTATTTGTGTAGTTTCCTCTAATAAACTGGACATCAAGCAATAGGTAACCAGATGCATCTTAGATTCCTACGAGTGATTGTAAGAAGGTGAAGGCTCATAACTCAATCTTTTCCAATTGTTATGTAAAGATCGATAATTGGCTTTAGTCATTTCTATTGTCACTGCTACTAGTTAGTTAATGGAAAATGATGAAACCTCACTAAATGGATTCATTCTTGACTACTCTTAAAAGTAGTATAGCCAAGAAGCCGTAATAAAATTGGAAATAATGATATCAATCATAGCAAAAAAGTGCATTCAAATGAAAGATCCCAAATAGAGTTGGGCATAACTTGTCAGCTTTCTAACTGATCATCAGCAAAGGATGTAACCGGTAAAGTGTCTAGATATCATCAAATCAACACAACTTGACCAACTCATATTCATCAATTAGCAAGAACAATTTCCAAGTTTTGATGATAGGAACAAATATTTCACTTGTTGAGTAATTTTTATTAAGCATTGAGTAAGTCAAAATAAAACCCATCGGAAATGAAGATATTCTAGACAGCTGTAGTAAATGAATTCATCATACATTTGACGTTTAATTAACTTCTGATCATTCTATAACATTCAAATTCGTCAGCATGATCTATTCTACTTCTTAGTCCTTTTTACATTTTCAAACTTTTGAGTTTTGTCTTTTGTTTATGTGTAAAATTAAGGTTATGCTTGGGATTCTGTGGCATTTACTTCTGAATAAAAAAAGTGTGGTGAATATTGAGTGCCTTTATTAGACGACACATCGAATGATGTAATCAACGTATACGACTGGAAGTTAAGGCGATGAGAAAAAGCCTTACAAATAATCATCACAGTTTCATGCTGTGCATACAATAAGTTATTCTGGGTTGTAAATAACCGACCACCACACACATATACACAAATCAAATCTGTATGTACAATGATCTCATCATGCTGATTCTGTACGCCATGTCACTTTAACAATAAAGTATACACCTTGAGGGTGAAATAAAACAATTTGACCTTTACACTTATGATGTAAGGTGTGAAGGCAGTCAGAATTAAACAAACACGCTTTGATGAAAATAGAAAAGTAATTGTTTAAGTTAAATGAATCTCGAGGAGACAGTAGTGAAAGTGGAAAAGCTCTGGGACACTTAATACATTTCAACAGCCTCATGAATAAAAGGTGAAAGCCTAACATAAATTCGCTTATTTTGGAAAGGGTAGAAAGAAAAAGAAAAATTTGAATAGATTGAAAATATTGAAAATTTTTTTAAGTGCTTCTTAGATTTATTGCGTGGAGGATTTCATCATGAGCTGACATCAGTTTTAGATTTATGTTAATCTTCTCCGAAGAAGTACACAGACGTTTAGAAGCAAAAAAATCAAGTATTGACTTTAAGTACATTGAAAGACACTAACACTTAGGATCAGAAACCAAAGTGGTATGCAAACAGGTTTACCTTGGCCTACAGGTCAACCTATATAGCTTAGCACAGAGGCTTATTTTGACATTGAGGAAACAACATACAAACATATAAATGTATGGTGAAAAAATATGAATGAAGGAAGACAGTGATGAGAGATGATAGTAATACAAATAATAATGATAAGGGTAATGATTTAAATAAGAACAGAACTAGGAAGGACTGGTTTCCCAGACTGACAGTGAGACGTAGTCAAACATGGCTAAGACTAATGTGTTCTATTCTGTCCTTTGCCATAAAACAATAGTTTTCTTCTGTGGTATTCCACCTGGAGTGACAGGATTATCTACACGTATGATTATTTAGATTAAAGATGAATGTGAGAATATGTTCTTGTCGGTATTTTAGAGGCACCTTATATCGACAGAGATGATTATTAGACTTTTGTAGAGATCACTTTTGATGTATCAGGCTGTGAGTCAGACCCCGGCTATCGACCAAAGGGCGGGTGTACTGCTCATCAGTCCGCTCCGTCCTCCTTTATGGCTGTGAGACAAGGCCATTGAGAGCAGAACACATGAAAAGATTAGCTGTCTTTGATCATAGGTGCCTGCGTTCTATCTCCCGTGTGAAGTGGTATAATAAGGTGACAATACTGAGGTTAGGCGTCGAGCGCCAGGTAAGGAGGGGAAATCAATATAGGCTGTGAAGCTACATCGACTGAGGTGGTTCGGACATGCGTTACGCATGCCTAGTCATCGCCTTCCTCGACAACGGGCAATGTTAGCTGATACAGTATTGGTCAGGCTGGAAAAGAGCTAGCGGTGGTCAAACCAAAACATGGCACCAGTCAATGAAATCCACAACAGTTAGTCTAAGCCATGTAGGAAGGTGTAGACTTCCTGGTTGGGGTCCTCGGGACAGTAAAAACCAATGGCTGGGGACAATTGGTGATATGGCTCAAAATCGTTCTCGATGGCGCAGATGCATCCACTCCTTGTGACTTATAATACTCAATGAAACTATATTGCTCTTCGTTATTACTATTCCTTTTGTCTCATATCCCTGTCTATTGTATCTATTTTGCATTTCTTCTCTTGCTTTGTGTGCTACCTGAAGTGTGGTGACTTGAACTGCCGCACATCGGTGCAAAGTTCTATGTCGAATACAGACAGACAGACAGATAGTGAGTCAGACTTATTGTATGGGGAAAGATGATACTACTCAGATGCTGAAATTGACTTAGAAGGAGTGGTTTACTAACCCCAAAACCTGCTAGTTGAAACTCGAGTGCTTAAACCAAAGAACCACATCTTCAGTGGATATCAGACAGATGATCTAAAGATTGAGTAATCTGGTGGATGACGACTAACAGTAGAATTCACGATGCATATTTCGTCCCATTTGGGCCTCACCAACTGCAGTCCCCAGTTAGTGACAGTGTTCCCATTGAGACTCGAAATCAGTATCCTTCGCTTCAAATGCCAAAGCGTTATCCATTAGACCACTTGGGCCACGCTAACAATCTATTGACTTAGCTGTGATTCAGGTTACCGTTCCCCGGCTATGCAACATTCACATAAAATAAATTCCTAAATGTACAAAATATCTAGTCCAAAGGCAGTGGTACACTGTAAAAACACTGGTAACAGAAATAATTGCCGCATAACTTACAGTATAGGTATTCTTCACATTCAGCTTCTTCATCACCTTGATCACACTTCTCTAAAGGTGTTTCTTGATCAGATAAAGTGCGAGCATGCAAAGAAGCACCATGTTCCACTAAAAGTTTAGCTAAGGGTAAGTTCCCGCAGGATGCAGCACAATGCAATGGTGTCCAACCATCTGTGTCACCAGCATTAACATCAGCTCCAGCTGTAAGCACAAGGAATTCAGCTACATCCACACGACCAGCACAAACAGCATTATGCAATGCTGTGATACCTTCGTCGTTTGACTCAGAAACATCGACAACCTATTTAAATTGAAAAATGATGAAAATATCGTCAAGAAAATCAATGGAAGCTAGTGAACGCCAAAGAACTTCTGCTTTTTATCTAGTTATTTTACAAAGCATATCCTTGATAGCAAAAAGCCTCTAATTTAGAAGACATTCAGGTCTAGTGATAAATGTTAAGTTAGTTAATTAATGGACTGAAATTATCCAATACATCTAACCAGCTAAATTCCTCTGAGAATACAACACTATTATTACTCAATACGATAGGTGTAGCATTCATTTGCATTCCCCACATGCCTTGACGTACAGATCTCGAATATCCATTACGACTTTGAGAGAAACACCTTAAAACAATTCATTAATAAGCAATGGTAGAATTTCCAAGTGTTTATTATTGTTATTGTTTCCTTTAATTCCTAGAGGAACATAGGGCTTCAGCCGTGCCTTCAGCCTTCAGGACTTCTGATTTCGTCAGGGGGTTGGTGTTCACTGGTAATTCTGCTTCCGTTGTTGGTATTGCTGGGCGCGTTGTAGGTGGTGGTCGATTTAGGAGTCTTTTGAAGTGTTCAGCGCAGTGTTTCTTTTGCTCCACTTCTTTGGTGAGTGACTTTCCATTGTCATCCTTCACCGGCTTGATTTGTGTCAAACTTTTGCCCAATAGGTACCTAGTTGTTTGGTAGAGTGTTGCGAGGTCTCTTTTGCCTGCAGCTTGTTCTGCTTCACTTGCCATGGTTTCATAATACTTTCTTTTGTCTTCTCTGGCACTCTTCTTTACTCTTTTGTTCAGTGTCTTGTAGTTTGCATTCAAATCCTGTTTTTGTTGCTCGTCAGTGCACTGGAGAATCTTTTGTTTCACCATCCTTCTCTCTTCTATCAGTCTCCAAGTGTCCGTAGTGAGCCACTATTTGTCCTGTCTCTTCTTTCTGCCTAGAACTTCCATGCAGGTTTGACTCCACACTGTCTTCAAGTTGTTCCAGTGCTTTTCGACGCTGACCTCTTCGCTAGTGTTGATTTGTGTCTCGGCTTTGTCCTTTATGCTTGCAGTGAAGATGTTTTTCGTATACTGGTGCTTCAGCTTTTGAATGTTGAACTTGGCTTGTGGTCTATCTGCAGCTCCTGTTTCTCTGAAAGCTTTGAATTTGATTTGGATTGTCCCTTGTACGAGATAGTGGTTTGAGCCAACGTCTGCTCCTCTTCTTTCTTTTGTGTCCAGTAAGCTTCGCCTCCACTTCCTTGAGCAGTATTGAGATGAAGTCAATTTGTTTTTTGGCTCGCCTATCTGGTGACACCCATGTAGCTTTGTGGATATTCCTGTGTTTGTATATACTGCTGCCAATCACTAGTTCATTGAAGGCACAGAAGTCGGCGAAGAGTTCTCCATTTTCATTCATTTCTCCGAGAGCTTCTCTACCCATGATGAGTTCCCTTCCTGTGTTGTCTGGTCCCAGTTTAGCGTTCATGTCTCCCATTAGTATTTTAATGTCACCAACTGGAGTATTGTCCATTGTTGCCTGTAGTTGTCTGTAAAACTCTTCTTTCTTTTCGAGATCTGCGTTGTTTGTGGGTGCGTAGCATTGTATAACTATGTTCACTTATCGAATTTCATTAGAAACAATCTTGTGTTTTTCAATTCGTTGAGATAAAACAAACTATGTCACAAGGAATATGTCGAATAATAATAATAATTTAATGGGGTAAAGAAATCGACAACAAACTGTATAAATCACTCAACTCACCTCAGAAGCTGCTTTTTTCACTAACTCTAAATCACCTTCTAAAGCAGCATCTAACAATAAAGCTAATGGATGAAATCGTACAGAATTCGATTGACACGGTGAAGATGACAATGATTGGGTTGTTTCTGTTACACCGTCTAAACTTGGACTTTGTTTCGATGTCAGTGGTGATTGGAATAATTTTGATTTACGCAGAATAGGTTTAATTTGTTGTTTTTCTATGAGATTAGCTAAAAGTAAAGAAGATTATTTTTTTTAAAAAAGAACAAGAAATATGTGGTGAAAAATTATTCTATAAATCATGTAAAACGTGTAATGTCAGGAGTTTAGTGATTAAAACAGAAGTTAGTTAGTAAGTAAGACTGATTATGAATATTGATAGGAATAATAACTAACGATGCAGCATACAACTTGATTGTATTTCAACTCGTTAAAATGTCTAATTCTATGTAACAAAAATTACGATACTATTTGTACAGTAAGGTGTATGGATGAGAAATTCACAGGTAATCTTATTTCAACATATTCACAGTTAAAAAAATTTGCAGTTCAGTTCCATACAGCTCACTGTTTATCCGAAAATGGCTATGAGTGGATTTGGAAAGCAACCTACGGTCATCAATCTGATGATGAACCAAAAGTAGGACTTCAGTTAGGATACTATGTTAATTATCCGGCTAATCTCGATTCATTGACTGGTCCATCAGGGACTAACCAGTGTCATGTGTCTAGCCTTTAGACTTGGAGCTGACCGAATTCTGTTAGTGTAAGGTCTGCAATCTGGCAACCAAGCCAGATGAATCACTGTTGCAGTGAACTCTGAATTAATATCACGCAGTTGGGTGTAATCAACAGGCGGTTGCAGATGCATCTATTGCTGATGAGTACAAATAAGTACGAAGCCCAGATCAAGGGTTATCTACCGATCACCTCTAACCAGAAAAAGTATTATTATAAACAAGTTGTCATATAATGAGTTATCTGCATAACTTATTGTTCTTATCGATATAAATGTCAATGTTCTACGAGTCCAGAATGATTTAATCAGTATATAGAACTAGTTGATAAAGTTTATAATTATTGAAATGAGTCATAGAGAGGTAGCTTTAAGACATTCTAACTTTAGTTCATATGAAAAACAAAACTGATTATCTGTTTAAGTCAATTTAGCATTTGAAACAATGGGTGCTGTGTTCGAGCCTCAGTGGAAAAACTATCATCCATTCAGGATACAGATACATCTGGCTAACAAGTTTCAAATAGGAAGAGATATGCATCCTGGATCTCCCCACACTCACTCCCTCTTTTTTACCTTGATCCAATTACGTTTAAGCTCCACAAAAACTATTTTTTCTCTGAACTGATTTCATCTCAACTTCACTAGAATGAATTGATGACAATTTAGATTGTAAAATCAAACAAAAAAAGCTTAATCTAAAAACTTATATACTGAAGATATAATATTAATACTCTTTTCAGTATTTACGAACAACTTTAGTCAACTTGACTACTTACTATAAATATTTGTTTATGAACTTTGTACGTGGTAAATAAAATTATGCTTATTCTACATTATCTAACATTTATATTGGTTAAATTGCTGTATTTATGAGGATATAATTGATTCTAAGGTGGATTTCATGCACAAGCTAAGCCATCGGCTTCCTAGACAAGCAATGTTAACTGACATAGGATTAAATTTGAAAAGAGTTAAAGATGATCAAACCATAGCCTGGAATCAATCCATCAAGTTTTTGACAGTTGATTTGAACCACGTAAGGTTGAGGTCTTCACGATGTTAAGAAGCAATAATGATTGGAAACTATTGGTGGCACGGTTCAAAATCATTGTCAATGGCGTAGATGCATTCACCCTTTGTGATCTGCCATATCCATTCAAATCCTATTACTATTCTTTCTCCCTCACATTTCTGCTCATTATAGTTCTTTAGAAGATCTCTTTTTATCTCTACTTTTGTGTGCTACATGGAGTGTACCAAATTGAACTTCTGCATTTCTGTGCAAAGTTCTATGTTGAAACACTGTCAGTCATTCGGTCGAGATTTCATTATAAGGTCACATGATTTGCGGAATTATTGCAAAAAGGGCACCAGAGCAAAGGGCACGACCCTCTGAATGTTGGAGGACATGAGGACGACAAGCAGGATACAGCTTAATCAGTAACCACCCCCCAGGTGTTTTCAATTTATACATTTGTTTTGAAAAGTTATCTCATTATCATCTCTGGGCATTATAATCGTCTTATCAACACACCAACACACTCACGAGAAATTATTATTATTATTTTAATTGCAACTTTTCAATCACACCATCATAAGAATTAATTATCACAACGAGAGTTGAACTTCATTCACTTCTTATGCATCTTAATATATGCCTGTTTGTAATAACGTAAACAAAGATTTTATTCTATACTGTTAGTATTTGTAATTTATCTTTATCTATCCAATGAAGGATTTATCACTTTGTTTATCTATTTTCACAGTTGAGAAAAACTAGTTTCAATCTATAGTGATAATGACGATAATAATAATAATAAGCATGATAATTGGCCTATCTATTCTTCAATGACATAAAGCTGGTGTGCCCTGAAATGATAAGAAGAATGTAGTATAAATTGAGATAGTGAATAGCATCCAAGCTGACTGCTTCCATCGTATAGATGAGTCAGTTCATCAATACAAAACTAAGCTTGTGAATCAGTATTTAAAAAAGGGATTTTAAGACATTTTATTACTGACGTTTAAATGCCATTATATTATTATTATTATTATTATTATTATTATTATTACCATTATTATTATTGATAATGTATATAGGTGATGAATGACATTGAAAATAATAATAATAAAAAGAAACTTAATCCAAAGGGGGTGATTGAAATCAAACGTGCTTGCATGTTTGTGTGGTCAATGCATCTTGATTGACTGAGATATGAAACACACCATTTAACTAAGTTTCTCTATTTTACTAGAATCACACAACACAAAGAGCATATATACACACACACACAACTGTCATATGACGACGTCTAACCTTCTATATTCAACATCACATCCACCTCTACCCAGGATGGTAAAGGCATTCAATAGTGTTGTATATATATCACAAGTTTTGAGCAAAAGGGGTGTAACCCGATAGAGTTTTGAGGTCAACAATTGAGATTCATTCTCAATCCCCTTCAAATTATTTTTTCTTCTTCTCATTACAATTCATTTGGCTAACTGTGAAGGAGATTTCAGATAGACTGTTCTATAATTTCATTGTTTAACCTAAAAAGTTAATTATACCTACTTAAATGAAGTAACAACAAAGAGGTGATAAATTTTTTATACATCATGAAATAATCTAAAACCAGTCTATAGAAAAGATTGTGTGAAGAGGAGATGAGAACACATATGGACAATTGTGGAGACAGTTAAAGACGATTGAAGAGAACAGGGTGAAACGGAGATCCACTTTTGAAGTCCTCTGTTTTACTCACAATCTAATAGAATAATATACAATAAATAAATAAATACAAAAATAATTTTGTTCTCTTTTTGGAAGTCATTCACTATCAAAAACGCAGAACTGAATTGAATTCTCCACGTAGAACTTTACATAAAAGTACAGCATCTTAAATTGCCACACTTCATAAAATCAAACGTTGAGGTCAAATTAGATATAAACATTCTAAAGGTAATTGGATTTATTAAAGTAAACAACAATCACGTGGTAACATCACGATGAACTAGCTAGATCTGCAGTACTGTATACAGCGTAAACAAACTGATTTATGAAAGAGGGGGGGGGAGGCATGTATATGGATAATTAAAAATACTAGTAATTATGAGGCGGGTTGCATGATTTCAGGTATTTATGTCTCACACTGGTGAAAATGAGAACAACGATGATAACACAAAAGAGAAAAAAAGAGAAATCTCACCAGTTATTAAGGACGTGGGCGTCAACTCTTTTTGTGCTATCTTAAGGCTTACTCAGAAAGATTTAAGCAACAAGACAGATTTTTAGGGATCATTCAAACACATCCCTTTACTAATGAAGCTAAGTGACAGATAAGAATCGAAAAATATTGCCAGATATTAATACCAATGAATGGTGTTATCATTGTATGACTTAACGAAGGGAAGAAAGGTAAAGATAACTATAAATTATGAGAATGACACATTGTGTTAAAATACATTCATAAGAGGTCTCAGTAAATATGTATATCAAAAACGACTTACCAGATGTGTTGAGTGTACTAGCGTCTGTACCATGTCCTTCATCCACATACACTACAGTTCTAGGAGAAACCTCTTTCATTTTTGTTTCACCACGTTGAATCTCGGCAGTACTCGAAATAGTAGTAGAATTTACTAATTTCGTTTCGGATTTTGTGACTAATGAGCTTAACTGTAAGGTGGATGATGACTTCTTGACTTGTGGTTGTTGTTGCTGTGTGGTGGTGGTGTTCTGACTTGATAGTATGATCAGAACCGCCTAGACCACTGTCTACATCACCAGAATTCTGTTGCTTTTGATCATCTTCAGGTGAATCAAGCTCAGTAGGTGATAGAGATAATTTCTGTTCATCATCTGGTTGTATATCTATACCGATTAATTCTAAAGACGATGATGAAGATGCAGACGGAGACGAGGATAAAGGTACTTCAGTAGTAGTTGAGTGAACTGAAGACTGAACTTTCTGAGCAGAATAATCAGGAATTTTATTGTTGTTAATATTATCATTAGTAACAGCAGTGATATCACTAGTTTTGGTGACATACTGAGGATGAGAGGTGTAAGATGAATCTCGTTGGTGTATATCACGCATATCTTGCGATGTTCTATTCACCGGTTCAATTTTCTTCACGGTTCGGTCATTCCCTGTTGTTGTTGTTGTTGTCATGGGAGATGTTTGCTGATTGTCGGAAACGACTGAGCTATTTGACCATTCAGATGACACTAAAGATGGTGCCATTGGTGTTGATGATTGCTGTAGAGGTAGTGGTGGTGACTTTACACCTAATTTATTTACACTGGCTAAGTATATCTCACTGGCTGTACGTTTGTATTTCTCAACACTATCACGGCAAATACGACGCATGTATGTATCGTTGATTACAGCACGTGATGCATATCTTGGTGGAGCTTTAATACGTGGTATAGGCAATGGATGAATTGGTGCAGGGGACATCATATTATCTTGACTTATATTATTACTGGTAGTCGTTGTATTCGGGCTCCAAACATTAAAACCGGGATGTAACTGCATAAATGTACGCAAACATGTCCGACGACTGGATGTAGGCGGACTACTAGCTCGTGTAAGCAATGAACTGAATGAAGTGTTTGCTGTTGTAGTTGTCGTCGTTGACATGACAGTGTTGGTTGTTCTCGATACAATAGGAGTCGATTGACAAATGGGAATATGTGGAGGTTGTGCACCAGGAACAGAACGACCATCGTGGACATTTAGGCTTTGGTCGATTAATCTATCCACGAAAGAAGTACAAATGTAAACACCAATAAATAATGGGTGACTTTTAAGGAAGTAAAACAAATAAAACAATGATTAAACCTTGTGCTGTTTATTCAAGACCCTTCAATCAATGACTAGTATCGATTAACAATAAAATCACCCTCATCCTGTCTGCTCAATATTGTTTTTTTCCTTTTTCAATATCTAAAGATATAAGGAACTGAGAATGAAAACTAACAAATTAGGCACATGAAAAAACCTTGAAAATGCAATTTATTCTTGTCAACGTTAACACCAATTAGGGTGTAAATTGACACACTCAGTCAACCCTCAAAAAATTTAGACCGATAAAATTCAATTTATGACTATAAAAGATACTAATAAATACGTAATAACAGAATGTTTCGTCAAATTCTCTTCTGTATCATAAATAAAAGCAGTAGATTACATTAAACCAACGGATACTGAATTTTATAGACTAATAAAAGTGACAGATGTTGGTGGTGACAATATGTCAGTGAACTTAAAGCGGTGAGTATTCACAACACCAGCATTAGTGAGAGATATTATTATTATTAACTTGATTAAGAGAGAAATTTTAGCTATACGGCAACATCTGTCTGAATTTACGATTATTGTTCAAAGCGTGAAATTAAACTAATCATCATGCTCTTATGATATAGTAAGTCTTGTTCAAGTATGTTAGATATATTCAAGTGATTAGTGAGCGGTGGTCACTTAGAGGGCATTCGAGAGTAATAAGTTCAATTTGTCATAGTGTAACAACAGAAGACAAGGGTCAGGCAACAGATCGTTTTTAAGGAAAATCAACACATATTTATAGATTTTAATGTACATTATTGTTAGTAGAAAATACAGTCTTTTGATTGGTTGTTTCTCACAGAAAGTTAACCTTGCATCTCTTAGTGGCTGTGTCAGATCATCCATATGCTAACTGTATCCGCCTACGCAAAGCCTTTGTTCTCATTTTCTCACCACCGATATTGGGGACATAAACATTGACGTCAATTACTGTCTACCAACTTTGGCTAGCAGCCAGCTCTCACCACAATAGTAACAGCAATTTGAAAGGCTACAATATGAGTATGAATTTGTAAATATCTAGTACAGACTGAAAGTACTTAAAGTTTCGATAATAGAACAGCGACAATTACAACAAACGACGTCTATTTCGTCTAATACTACCTTAAAAGCAATCCTGTGTTATAAGAGTCTAAAGAAACTAACTCATCAAATTAGGATTCAATTCACTTGTGACTCATCATCTGAATTTACCTACATATCACTAATTGACTCGAACCTACCGACCATAGTTTTAGTTGCCAAAGAGCTATTCCCCAGGCTACTGAAATGCATAGGCCAAGTCTTTTGAAATGAGTATGAGTGATTATTTATTGAAACTCTTTATTTCCTATTGTGTTTATTCTCACTCGACTAAAATGCAATGACTCAATTTCACTGCTAATCAACACCAAACAAACGAAATCAAGTTCACTTCACGGTATCATAGAAGCGACTGTATTTATATGGATAAGAGAATATCTGTGTGCAGCTTTCAAAGTTTACTAAGAAAAGATAACATGAACACTAAAACTGAACGTATTCATCAGCATCTATTGGTAGCATGCTGGTCATATTCAGAGATGAGAAATAGAAGGATGTTTTAAAACATAGTTTTGGATGTGTGTGGGCCTAAAATCTACCTCCCGATTCCATTTATTCTACACTATTTCAATAATAAGTCAGTCAATTAGGGGAATCATATTTATACATTGTTTTTGAAGACATCCCTATGTCATTTGAATTTCATTTTTATCCATTCTGTATGAACTGGATTTCAGGGTTTTATTTATCAGCTCAGCAACCATTTGAATGTGAGAATGATGCATAGACACTTCAGCAAGTATACTTAGTATATACTTATTGAAGTTTCTATAAACAGAGTGAAGTAATCGAATGATTTAGTGTTACATGTCAGGAATAGCTGTCTTTGATCATAGGTGTCTGCGTTCTATCTCCCTGATGAAGTGGTATAATAGGGTGAGCAATATTGAGGTTAGGCGTCGAGTGCTAGGTAGATAAGGAGGGGAAATCAGTCGACGAGGCTGAGAAGCTACATCAACTGAGATGGTTAGGACATGTGTTACTCATGCCTGCCTAGTCATCGCCTTCCTCGACAACGGGCAATGTTAGCTGATATAGGGTCAGGCTGCAAAAGAGCTAGCGGCGGTCAAACGAAAACATGGCACCAGTCAATGAAATCCACAACAGTTAGTCTAAGCCATGTAAGAAGGTGTAGACTTCCTGACTAGTTGGGGTCCTCGGGACGGTAAAAACCAATGGTTGGAAACAATTGGTGACATGGCTCAAAATCGTTCTCAATGGCTGGTGCAGATGCATCCACTCCTTGTGACTTATGATTTCCAATTAAACTGTTTTGTTCTTCGTTATTACTATTCCTTTGTCTCACACCTCTGTTTACTGTCTCTAATATGCATTTCTCCTACTTTCTTCTCTTGCTTTGTGTGCTACATGAAGGGAGTGTGGCGACTTGGACTGCCGCACATACGTGCAAAGTTCTATGTCGAAAACAGACAGACAGACATGTCAGGAAGCCAATTGTCAGCCAATACTCCTCAAACTTAAGTTCCATGCAAGCTAACAATCATCAACAGAGTACATTTACAAGAAATCATAAAAATTCAACACGAAAGTAATGCTATAATCGACTTTCAATACGCAAAATTAAAATGTTTGT